CCATCCCGCGTCCTTCAGCAAATGCCGCAAAGAGATTTCAGTCCCCCCGCCATTAATAAGGCCCCTGCCGCATGCACGCACCCGCTTTTGATTGTGTTGTGCGCTCAGCCTGTCATTTTGTTGTTGTCTAGATCACGACTGGCCGAAGTTAATGGGGCCCTTCTACTCAAGAGGATGTTCTGTGACTCTGATTCATCCGGCAATTTTAGGCCTCGTTGCTTTTTCCTGGCATAAATAGCCCCTGCTGGACCGCCGTTTCTCTCTACCTGCCTCGTCCCCGCCTGTCTGGCACAGCAGATCCTTTTGAAAAAATAAAAATAAAATAAAATAAAAGCAGAGGAGAGGTTCGTCTGATTTCGGAAGCACGTTTTAGGCTCTGGGAACTGCAGAGCGCTGGAAACGTGGCCGGTCTTGATTAGGAGAGGGTGTTCGTTGCTCCGGGTTGAGCTGTGGGGGTCCTTGGTGCCCTCTGAGGAGGGTGGTTTCCTTGCAGGCGTTTCGTGACCCAGCAAGGGAACGTCCTCCGAACGGAGAGGGGTTTTGCTCTCTGTTGATGTCCAAGTGCCTTGCCTTGTCCATGTTCTCAGTGTGGTTCCGTGGTTCGGCTGTAGGAAAACCACCAAGATCAGAGAGCTCCTCCCCCCGCCTTCTCCTCTTCTCTACAAACCCTGCTCCCTTCTGGCACTGATGATGTTCCCCAGTTGGATCATGAAACGTCTGCAAGAAAAACCCCCAGCTCAGAGACCCCCTAGGACCCCACAGTCTTCCTCCTCCTCCTCCCTTCAAACCCTCCTCCAATCCAGCACTGATGATGTTCCCTAGTTGCGCCATGAAAAGAAAGCCACTAAGCTTATAGAAGTCATCTTCCTCTCCCTCCTCCTCTTCCTCCTCCCTGGAAACTCTTCTTCCGTCTAGGTCTAGTTGGGTCATAGAACGTCTGCAGGAAAACCACCCAGCTCAGAGAGCACTAAGGATTCCACACTCCTTCCTTCCCCTTCCTTCCTTCCTTCCTTCCTTCCTTCCTTTCCTCCCTCCGCTTCCCTCCTGCTTCCTCCCTTCTTTCTTTCCTTCCTTCCCTCCTTTTCACCTTCCTTCCTTTTTTCTTTCCTTCCTTCCTTCCTTCCTTTCCTCCCTCCCTCCCCCCTTCCTACTTCCTCCCTTCTTTCTTTCCTTCCTTCCCTCCTTTTCACCTTCCTTCCTTTTTTCTTTCCTTCCTTCCTTCCTTTCCTCCCTCCCTCCCCCCTTCCTGCTTCCTCCCTTCTTTCTTTCCTTCCTTCCCTCCCTTTCACCTTCCTTCCTTTTTTCTTTCCTTCCTTCCTTTCCTCCCTCCCTCCCCCCTCCCTTCCCTCCCTGCTTCCTTCTTTCTTCCTTTCCTTCCTTCCCTCCTTTTCACCTTCCTTTCTTCTTTCCTTCCTTCCTTTCTTTCCTCCCTCTCTCCCCCCTCCCCTTCCCTCCCTGCTTCTTTCTTTTTCTTTCTTTCTTTCCTTCCTTCCTTCCTTCCTTCCTTCCTTCCTTCCTTCCTTCCTTCCTTCCTTCCTTCTCCCCTTTCCTCCTTCCTTCCTTCTTTCTTTCCTTTCTTCTAGCACTGATGATGTTCCCTAGATGGGTCGTGAGACGTCTGCAAGGAAACCGCCCGGCTCAGAGAGCACCAAGGACTCCCCTCAGTTCAGCCCTGAGTTGCACATATTCTCTCCTATCGATACAGCCCCGTCTTTTCTGTGACCCCCCCACCCACCCCCGACCCCCAATGGTTGGAAAACCTAGAGCTCTGTGTCACCGCCTGAGCCCGGCTGGGCCTTTCGTCTTGCTGCCTCCTCTCCTGCCTGTAAGCCGATTCTGCCATTTCTCCGTGTGGGTGGGCACCTGGGGTGTGCAGGACCCCCAAGCGGGTATGGGGCTCCCGAGACGATGCTTTGCACTCTTTCATAACAGGCTGCATCGTTTTCCTTCCCTTAACGTAGTGACCCAAAACATCCTTCGCAGAGAAGTTGGCCTTGGGAGGAGAGGCAGAGCCGTGACCCATTGCAGTAGCCAAAAATCCAAGGCTGCATTTAATAAAATATATTTAAAGTATGCTAGAGGTGACAAACCGGCCGGTTCTGGGGCACCAGAGATAACCAGAGATTCCCTGAAGGGCAAAATCAGGATTAGTTAGTGCACAATAATTATTCTTTCGGCCATGACAGGGAATCAGGCTGACTGGAAAAAAGGCAAGTTAGCCCTCGAGTTGGCGGCCATAATTCAGCCCCCAAATGCCCGTTGTTAAGTAAGACATTCCTTCTTTGCCCTCTACCCCACCCCCATTTTACACCCTTTCTTGTTGCTAAGTGAATCGATGCGGTCGTCAGTCATCCGGCTGTTAAGTGAATCTGCCTTTCCTCATTGACTTCGCTTGTCAGAAGGTCGCCAAAGGGGGCCGCGCGACCCTGGCACGCTGCCACCGTCGTAAATACGAGTCAGTTGCCAAAGCGTCCAAATGGTGACCGCGCGGGATGCTGCATTGGTCGTACGTGTGCAAAACAGGTCATAAGTCCCTTTCTTCCAGCGCTGTTTGTCTCTTTCGACGGTCACTAAATGAACGGTTGCAATTCGAGGACTGTCTTTGTACACGAGTCAGGTTTTTTTTGAATATCTGGCAGGGCCAGATTGTAAACTCTGCTTACAAACCTTTGCATTTTGGACATCCTGGGTGGTTTTTTTTTTTTTTAAATAATCTATTTTGCCTTCCTGCAAACCGGAATCAGATAAGCCGAATTTAACCCAAATACATGTTAGACAGAAGCGATTTAATCTGGCTGGCAATCTTTCTCCAGCGGGTCATTCCCCCGCCACCCGCACCCCCCCGTGAAGAGGCTTGGCACCCGGCTGCATTTTGTCAACCTTGGATGCTCACCCCATCCATGAATTGTCGGCGGTTGGAGGAGAGCCCAGCCCAGAAACCCAGACAGAAATTCGGGTGTGTGTGTGTGGAAGCCACCAGCACAAAGCAAAATTGCAAACCAATCTTTATTGTTTCAAAAATGGGTGGGTGGGAGAACGCGACACGGGCGTATTTCATTCACCGCCAATCAATTTGGATTTGAGAGCGTCCTTTCATTTTATTTTATTTTATTTTATTTTTTCCCGAAAAGAAAATAGAAAAACTGTGGGAAGAGCTTGCAGACGAAACGAGACTTTTAGCCGGTTCCTAGCTGCGAGTCGAAGGATTGATTCCTGCCTTGCTTCTCTTCCTGTCTAGGTGGGAGACCACAAATTCAGCGCCCACCGCATTGTCCTGGCGGCCTCCATTCCTTACTTCCACGCCATGTTCACCAACGACATGATGGAATGCAAGCAGGATGAAATTGTGATGCAGGGCTTGGATCCGAGGTAAAGCAGAGGGTTTTGCGGGGGGGCTCCGGACGATTCCCGTACCCCCTTGGGACGGGCCAAATTTATTTCATTTTATGGTGGGGTTTCTTGCGGACATTTCATGACCCAACTAGGTAACGTCATCAGGCCTAGGAGAGAAGGGGATTGTGGAGAGGAGGAGGAGGAGGAGGAGTGGGAGGGGTCCTTGGTTTTCTCTGAGCTTGGTTTCGTTCCTGCAGATGTTTCATGACTCAAATTCAATGACTCAACATCATCAGTGCTAGAAGGGAACACGGTTTGCTTCTAGCGCTTCCTTCCACCCCTGATAATGTTATCTGATTGGGTCTTGAAACGTCTTTGCTCCTGACGCCACCCGTCTGGTAAACTTGCAAGATTCATTTTTCCTGCCACGTATACGTACGCATCTGAACTAGGCTGCCTTGCTTCTCTGCGTCGTATAACATGCGGGTGCATGCATCGTTTTGTATTTATTCCTTTATTGGTCGCGTTTATGTAGCGTATATTGGAGGGTGGGGAGCCTTTGAGAGGCGGATGCAACGAAATTTCACTTTAAGGCACGACGAATAGTGGACATTCAGAGACAATAAAGTTACTGTTCTGTTCTGCAAGTAAACAATCCAGCCGCCCCTCTGAATTTCCTATATAAGAGGCAACTAGCAATTAAGGAAGACCTTTGACTGCCGGCTTTCTGGGGCATCCCTTTCGCAGGAGAAGTGGTGGTTTTCTAGTTTATTTCTACCTTCTTGAGGACCAGAAGCATGGCGCGTTCCTTAGGAACATCTAGAACCTGCAAGGACTACGAATTGCGTAGCAATACGTGTATTTTGGATGGCGTGGGTTACTAAAACTGGGTATTTGCGCCCTCCTCCGAGTCACTTTTTGTGAAGCGGTAAGTTAAACGAATTTGATTAATAAATCAATAACTATCGGCTCTTCTTCGCCCCATTTTAGCGCCCTGGAAGCTCTGATCAATTTTGCCTACAACGGGCATTTGGCCATAGATCAGCAAAACGTCCAGTCTCTGTTGATGGGAGCCAGTTTCCTGCAGCTGCAGAACATCAAGGATGCATGTTGCTCCTTCCTCAAAGAGAGGTGAGCGCGGATGCCAAAAAAATCTGGAAATGGAACCCCTACGGTTGGAAGGGACCTTGGAGGTCATCTAGCCCAACCCCCCCTGCTCAAGGCAGAAGACCTTAAACCATCCCCGGTCAAATAGCTGCCCGGCCTTGTTTTTGAATTTCCAATCTCCCGGGACCAAAAATATCAAGGAAATTTACACTGCAGGGTAGCCCTCGAGTTATGACCCTCATAGAGTCTACGGTTGTAAAGCAGGCCTATTAGATGGCGTGGCTGTTTCACCAGTTTGCAATGGGCTTTGTTTGCCACACACTGGTCGGGAAATGATGGCTTTTGGCGAAATGGTGTCGGCACAACCGCGCTCCCCGAATGCAACCTTAGGGCAAAGAGATTGATGCCGGCCACTCCTCTCTGCACGGGAAGAGATCCAGTAGGATCCCAGGAGGTGGGGGCTGCTGCCCGCGTTATCCAGTTGACCCATTAGGATCGGCCCTTCTTTAGCTGCTGGGGTGGTGGTGGCGGCGGCTGCTCCTGCCTCCCTTGTCTAATTGTTTCCTAATCCCCTTTTTTTCCCTCTGTCCCCCAAGGCCATTCGCACGTTATGCTGTTTTGTCCCAGCAGATGGCAGCCTTTGCTTCTCTGGGCTTGGAAAGGGAAGTAGCTCAGCCCAGGTTAGCCTTTGGAAAGGAGGCCAAGAGGAAAGATGTTTTCCGCTCAACCCTCCTCCCCCTTCTCTCTCTCTCTGCTGTCCAAAGGCTTCACCCCAAGAACTGCCTGGGCGTGCGCCAGTTCGCGGAGACCATGATGTGCGCCGTCCTGTACGAGGCCGCCAACAGCTTCGTCCACCAGCACTTCGTGGAGGTCTCCATGTCGGAGGAGTTCTTGGCTCTGCCTTACGACGACGTCCTGGAGCTGACCTCCCGGGATGAACTGCACGTGAAGTTGGAGGAGCAGGTGGGGCCCCTTCCAGACCCTAAAATACGCTCCGGGTTTTCGTTTTCCCTGACCAACTATACCAGGGGTCTCCAACCTTGGCCACTTTAAGACTTGTGGACTTCAACTCCCAGAATTCCTCAGCCAGCGTGGACTTCAACTCCCAGAATTCCTCAGCCAGCGTGGACTTCAACTC